AACAGGTTCCCGAGGAGGCCGTCAGCCTCTACCTAGCCCGGCAGTCACGCTTCAAGAACCTAATTTCACATTATTTTCTTTCCACAGACAAGTCCAATGGTTTAGTTGTATTTATTTATTTTAGTTGTTAGTTATCTTCTTTCCTTCTGTCCCTGTCATCTCATTTAGTGGTGGTTTCCTGCATTTGCATGTTTTGTTTTTTCATTCATTTATTTAAATGGGTTAGGGTTTATGTGTGTATGCATATATGTGTATATATGCATAGGCCTACATACATACGCGAATAATAATTATAATATTTATATATATTATAAATAATATATACTTCAGGTTACCATAAGTTAGCTAACTTTAATGAAGAGTTGGTCATGTAAGCTATAGCTTGCTGCAATTAATGCATTATCTTCCAATAAGTATTAACTAAAACTGGCTACATAAAATGTACTGACTAGATTCACGAGAGGTCGGCTAATGTGTGTAAAAGTAAAACAATACAGTAATTTCATTAATTTACCAGCTCCACGACACGCGTTAGTTCCTCATTCCAGAGTTCCTATGGCGGTCTATGGGAGTGTCGTAACTCTCTCTCTCTATGGCTCTCTGGACTACACTATTACAGGCTAAAGATTTTTTGTATAGAGTTGTTTACTTAAAACCTGTGTCTTTGTTCAGTAATCTTTGTCCTTGTTCAGAAAATGTTTAGTAACCATTACAAGCAATGCCAATAAACTGTTTTATTCTTATAAAAATTCATGTGTTCTGTGTACTTTATAACATTTTGAGGGCAATTGGGTGATGACAACAGAATAAGCAATTATATTTTTAAATTAATTTTCATCCAAACGAGGCGATTGAAAGCCCTGATAGGTCTGGTCACGACTTTGGAATTGTTGTCTGATGGTTGAAACCACACGAGAGGCTTCTTCCGCTCTTGCTTAAAACACCATAAGCCCAGCATATAGCCTGTCTGTATGCACTGTACTGGTATTGCCTAGGGATAAGTAGGAAAGATTCTTAAGTTTTAAACTCTGTAAGTAGGTTGGAAACGTCTCTGATTCATGTTGTGTATGCAACACATCTCCTGTCACCTATAGCTGTTGTTCATGAACATACTCGTGTGTGCTGGCTTGAAGGGGACCATTATCCTGCATGAAGTGAGTATGCTATGTGTAGCACAAATGGATTCAGGCATTATGCCTCATATCCAGAATGCTGGATATGTACACGTTACATCTGTATCAGTATATTTAAAGTAGCCTGCCTCCTCTGTATGGATAGAAAATTGTTATATTACAAGACACAAATTCAGATAGGCTTCTCAGAGCCTGTTTTATTACAGGTTTGAATGAATGAAATGTCTCTTCTGTATTAGAAAAATAAATATATAATTATTTTAGGTTTGAATGAATGAAATGTCTCTTCTGTATTAGAAAAATAAATATATAATTAAGAAATAACTAAAATAAATACCTCCAAATGTAACAAAAATAGCTCTCACAAACTTACAAAAACGAACTAACAAAATGTATCTAGTTTTCTTCCTCCTTATCCTGTTTTTCTTCCTCATGCTTGTTTGCCCATCTGATCTTTCCCAGAAGTTTTTTGAAAACCAGGACATTTTCATAATTAAAAAAATAAAATAAAAACAGCCAGGACAGGACGGGAAAACAGAAAATGTCCTGGTAAAACAGGACTGTTGGTCACCCTAACCAAGTCTAAAGTCAGTGGCGCGTTGCGTGTACTTTCAGATGCTATTTTAAGCGCGCATGCTTGCAGATACAGAGTGAACAACGCGCATACACATAGTAGATGATTCTCTCATTTACACAGATGCATTTTACTTTTTACAAATGATGCATTATTATAAGGAAAACTATTTAAACACGAGGGAAATCATTGTTGTGTTCATGATGACGATAGGAAAAATAGGCATAAAGCATACACATTTGCCCAAATTGATATGCATAACCGAAGCTAATATGGGTGGGTTTGTCCCATCCCCAATGTCACTTCTATTTCTTTTACAGCCCTGACGAGAACATCGATCTCCTCGGCTTTGAACCATCAGACTTTACTGTGAACCGATTCTGAAGCGCGCCGCTGCCTGCAGCCTGCAGCTGCGTCTGCCTCATGTGACGTCATCGCCGAGTCGCGTGAAAAATAACCGTCACTAAACAAAAACTACAAAAACGGGACTTTAACACCATTTTTGAGATATTTCTAACTTCATATACATATCTTAACTGCTTTATGTACCCATTAATCGACAGTAGTGTTTAACCTGCACCATGGCCTTTAATGACTTTCTGGGCCGTCAAGAGGCAGTCCCTCAGGCTGTCTATGGAAGAGTGATACAGCCCTCAGATTCAATCAAAAATATCTTTATTTGTGTTCCGAAGATAAACGAAGGTCTTACGGGGTTGGTACAGCATGGGGGTGAGTAATTAATGACTTAATTTTCATTTTTGGGTGAACTAACCCTTTAAGGTAGGCTCACAACCTGGGTACAAAATAGCCTATTACTCATTTTAATGTTTTTGAATGCACAAACCAAGCGAACGTTATAAGTTGACCTCAGACAACAATATAATACAATTTAAAAAGCCAGTTCATGACCCCTTTAACAGAAGATTCAAAGGAAATGTGGTTTGGTTCTCATTCATAAACTGTGTGTTGTGGTCACATGTTAATTTATTCTTGCAGATTTATGTGCAATGTATGAGGTCGGCTCGGTGTAACGTAACAAACGCTTCATGAGATGGGCTGGCTTTAAGCATGTCATTCTCTCTCTTTAAGGTTCATGAATAGGGTGACCACCCGTATCGCGTGCGCGCACAGCGTTTGACGCCCAATTCATGAGTCCCGCAAATTGAGACCGTGTCACGCATAATCAATGCTTGCTCAAAAAAAAGAAAGAAAAGTCGGTCAGTCTATATCCTCGAGACCCAGGCAGCCAAACTGAACAGGTTCACGTTCATGAACTCGTTCATATTTTGGGTGAACTGAATGTATTGTTTTACTGCCTGTCCTGATGAACGTTACTGTAAACTCGTTCATTCTGGTGTCTGTGAACGCACGCTCTCTCAGTTTAACTTCGTTCAATGGGGTGCCAGATTTCTATAGAGCCTTCCAGGTGAAAACCCGGCTAAAACTCACCGTAAACAGGGCTTAATATGTGGCGAAAAAACACCCAATCTGGCAACACAAGCCACCAGTCACTGCATGAAAATAGGTGTATCCGGACCAGTATACTCCTGTATACACTGCTGAAATTCGGAAGAATCCAGGAGTATAGTGGCCGGATATGTCAAATTCCATGGGTTTGTATATATCCGCATACATCCGGAATGATACCAAATCGGATGTATGTTGTGGACGTATACTTCCGTGCTAGAGCCATTTGTTGCCATGGCAAGTAATCCCATTAAAGTTTTTAGCAGGAAAAAATCACACCTTTTTGCAGGAAACATTCACACCTTTTTGCCTTCCAACCAAACTGGATTGGTTGTTCTTTTAAAGCCACTCCCAACACCCAGACCACTATTGGAGGGCAGGACACATTGAAAACCCAGTAAACGGACTTTATTGGTTACTTTTAAACATAGCCCACCCTAGGCCTTGTAGCATACTGATTTGATTGGTTATATACCAGCTATGCAGATATTGCTCAAATATATACCAAACCTCCCTCCCCCAATTTTAATATATTCATTAAAATAAATTTGATATATATATATATATATTTATATTTATATTTAAACACACAAAGAACAATGGGAAAGTCTGAAATTTTTATTAAGGTATATAACACATTCCAAATAGCATTATAAACAAGCATTACAGAGGAATTGGGAACAAAAACTAGAAAAAAAGTATGAAGTAATAACATCTCAAAGGAAGAAAAAAAAATCATGGACATTCCAAAGAAAATTATAAACATACATTAAATAAATTGTTAACTTTTTATTTTCGTTAATTTTTTTTTACCCAATCATTTTAAAGGACAGATGTAAAGGAATAAAGTACACAGTGTATAAAAAGTTACATATATATAAAATATATGAAGAGTTCCATTTGAAATTTTCTCCTTTAATGATGATTTTTATCAAACTTGTATATTTAAGTAATTTCTCTTAAATGACAATGATAATTGCCTATTAATTGTTATTTAAGTGAAATTACTAAACTTAAATATACAAGTTTGATAAAAATCATCATTAAAGGAGAAAATTTCAAATGGCATTTAGAGGCTTTTGCATCTGAACTCTTCATATATATAAAATATACGTAGATATTCCAAGTAAACAATATAAATAAATAGAACATTACAGAGAGTGCATTATAAACATACATTAAAATGCAAACAAGTAAACAAAATGGAGATAAGCAACATGGACAACAAAAAAAGGAACAAATATATGAAATAATACGAGAAAAATAAATAAGAAATTAAAGTGTATATAAAATATTCAAGGTGTACACTGCCGTTTTTTTTAAGTTTGGGATCGGTAAGAAGTCTCATATGCTCGCCAAGGCTGCTTTTTTTTTATATATATATAAAAAATACAAAAAAAGTAAGAGTAATATTGTTAAATATTATGACAATTTAAAATAAACGTTTCTATTGGAATACATTATTCTTGTGATCAAAGATGAATTTTTAGTGTCTTCAGTGTCACATGATCCTTCAGAAATCATTCTAATGTGATGATTTGATGCTCAATAAATATTCATTATTATTACCAAAGTTGAAAACAGTTGTAGACTTTTTAGGATTATTTGATCAATAGAAAGTTATATTTCATTTATTTGAAATATGATGTTTTGTAACATTATAAATGTCTTTACTGTCACATTTGATTCATTTAATGCATCCTTGCTGAATAAAAGTATTGAGTTAATTTGAGCTATCCCCCCCAAACCAAAAAAAAAAAAAATCTTACAGACCCCCAAACTTTTGAACGGTTATATATATATATATATATATATATATATATATATTTTTTTTTTATACGAGTTAACATTTTTCAAACTGCCATGATACGCTGGTGGTGTGACGCATAGTGTGGGTCAGCCTCTAGTCTGTTTTATAGTACCTAGCAGAGAGCAGATTGGTGGAGACCTCACCATTCACACTGGCCTTCCATCAACAATAGCATCATCTTCATCAGACATCAGTTCTATTGTTGCGGTCTTCCAAAGTTCCTTTTCTGTGTTGGTTTGTACAACCCCGGACCTGGTCTCCAGCAACTGAAAAACATGACAGTAACTTAACCACTAAAACACATAGGAGGATGGTTACATTCTGAAGAGAAAAAAAAGTGCTTAACCAGTTTCTTAACTTACCAGTCGCTTTCTTTGAAGGTTCTTTGCAATGCTCGTCATAGTTTTTCTTTTCTGGGCCTTTTCAGGCTGAGCCAAAGAATACTTCCTCCGCAAAGTCTCAAAATACATCTTCCAACCTGCTAAATATATCATAAATAAATGTAATGGCAATAAAAATAAGTAAAACAGAGGACAATAAAATGATTACAACATCTTTAAGATTACCTTTTACACATTCAGGGTCAACGTCTGTAAAAGTTGACCTTAATTCTTCGAAGAGGTAAGTGGTCACAGCCAGGTTATGTGATGAATTTATTCTGGGGGGGAAAGTTGCAGGTATCATTACTGAAATTCACTTTTGGCATTCCAAATCCATAGAGTAGTAGATTAAACTAACATTTAGGCTATAGTATATAAGAAACAGTCTTACCTGGTTTGTGGAACGTATTTGTGTGGGTTGTTCTCTGAATTATGGAGGCGCCTTACAGATTCCTGTAAAGTTTGAAATTAAAAAGCAATTAAATTGATTCACAATCTTCAAGAACCACAAAACTGAATTTTCAGTTGGAATAAGCTGACCATCACAGTAACCGCAGGAGACAAAACAATAATTGTAACCGAACTATGGCTTACAGCCACGTTATAGAACAATAACTGGACTTACCGCAATGTTCACGTCATGTGCCTTTTTTATTCTTTTCGAAGCGTTGTAAGATTCTTCATGTAACGTTAGTCTGTGCTGCTCATACTTTCGCTGAAGAGCATCAAGACGCTGGAGAGTCTCTCTGAGAAGATCAGGTTGTGGCCAAAGACAGATTGATCATCCCATTGTGATTCTGCATCACAGCTGTGGGGCATGTGGATGTGATCATCCTCATAGTTATCCACTGCATTACTGACTCTCATTGATGCATCTATGGAAATATTATAACCATAAACATTTTTTACATTAGTAGCTATTTAAAATAGATCATGGAGAATTCATTGATGATGGCACCCATAGTTACACAGAACAGTGTGTGAGAAAGATACATTAATTAAAAACGAAACAATACACAATCTCCTAACTCGCCATAAGTCAATATCAATATCTGAATGAGAGATGTAGCTAGCTGGCCTGCTAGCATCAGCAATCTCTGTATAGACCATTTCACAAGATGTAAACAACACTGGTCCAGAAGCACTTCCTGTTTCAGTTTTAACACTGTATAAACGTTGGGTTAAAGTACAACCAACAGAACAACTGAATCAAAAAGTTAAACAAACATATTCAAGATATTTTCTTTACATTTGAAATTAAGAAGCCTTTTACAAACTGAAACAGGAAGTGCATCTGGACCAGTGTTGTTTACATCTCGTAATGTGCAATAGCAGTAATGTGAGCTATTGTAAGACTAATGTAAGTTACCATACTATCTTGTACTACCGTGAATATTCATTCATTCATTCATTCTTTCAGACTCTTAGGTCAATATCACAAAGTTAAATAAATAACATGTACATGTGGGCAATGGTAATCATGCAAGATTCATTGTATTTTGTTTACGGCTTGTTACTGATCTTAAAAGCATTCATAGAACGGACTTCACGAATCTAAAGTTAGGCAAACAAGCACATAACAGTTAGGCAAGTTAGCTTACCTGAATCTGACAATATTCAACACCCGGCGTGACTTCTTTATCGGAACATCGTAGCCGAGCCATTTCTGGGGTGTTCCTCAATCGGATTCCCGTCCTTAGGCCCTGTTAACACGAGAACGCTCGCGGGTGAAAACGTAAAAATATTTTATCGGATGTGCCTTTCGTTTACACGGCGATGGCGTTTTTGAGGCTCAAAAAAGCAAAAAAAGTGAAACCACCCTCCAGAGTGGAAATCTTAAATCTTACCCGTGTAAACGGTAAAAACGCAAAAGTTTGCTTGACGGTGAAAGTTGTACGCAGGCGCGTGGACTTGGTGTTGTTGTAGTATGCACTCCTAGCCGCCTGAAGTGCATACTACATTGAATTTCACACACTTTTGCGTCTCCATTTGCACGCGGATTTCTCACACAAAACGCTCGTCTAAACGCAGAATAAAAAAAAAAAAAGATGACACAACGCCACTTTTGCGTTTTCTCATCAGAATCGTTTCCGTGTTTAGCCTCAGTTGGGCACTTTCAAGCCTATGCTTCCAAATGTAGTGCCTTCCGCCATTGCCTCCGGTGCTCCTCGTCTGTGGTGGGTGTAGCTAAATCGTAAAGTGCACCACAACAACAATCTGACCGCCTCACATTATGTTCGTTACACCGTTGGTCCAATTGTTCTCTCCTCTTAATCCAACTGTTATGGCAGCACCTAACTGAACATTTAATACTTGACATATTTTACCGTTCGTTTCAACTAACGCAGAATCTCATCCCTCTCATGAGCCGGAAGTTGAAGTCTTTCTCAGACGGGAGTAAGATGACAAAACGAACGCAATGGCGTCACTCTTGTTGTCGTGCAAAATAAGGTGAATAGAAGAAAACTGTTTCCAAACCTCGAACTGTTCTCTTTGCTTCGGGAATGCTGTAATTTTAAAGTATTTTTCTCGCGCTTGAAGCAATACACTAACGTTATTGTTTGCACCTCCATTACGTCACCACATTTGTTGTGTTTATGGTTGTGAGTGGTGAATTTCAAACCTCAAAACGCCCCCTTTTCTTGCAGCTTGTTTGTTTGCGGAAGGACTTATTCACTCAAACCACAAACCTCGGTATGACGCGTTGCAAGTGAATCTATTTAATTTTGTGAATAAATATGATGCAGCTGGACTCTTCAACATGGAAGGATAACCAGCTGCTGACAATAACACGGGAAAGCCCGGTGGTTTTGCGACCACTCGTTTCACATCATGCATGCCCAAAGAATTAACTCTGCCAAAACCGTGATGTCATTGTCCATCTCAGTTCAGATCTCATACAATGGTGTCAATGCAGGCAGTTCAATAACATTGTTGAATATTAAATAATAATGTCCCCAACTAAGCAAAGCCAATGGCGACAAATGTTGTTGTCTGCAATTGGTAAAACTTCACAATAAAAATTTAGATATTCTGAAATGTTTCCCTGTATTTTTTATTTCATTAAATATTCAGATGTTTTTGTGAACGTATATTCATGGTGTTTATTTTGTCCTGTTTTTATAAAAGAATATTTGATTAGGATACTTTTTTTCATACAGTGGTTTTAAGGCCCCACAGGCGACATAAGCCAACCCTAGAGTTGGCTTTAGTCATTGCTAGTTCTTTGACGTCGGTTTTCTGTTTCAGGGCCTTAAGAATTTATTTATTTTTCTGTACAAAAAACTTGTTTGCTGTAGACCAGAGATAATTTTCAATCCTGAAGTCCTCTGCCACTCCTCCCTCTGAGAACAGCCAGCACCCTTAGTGTCAGTCATTAACATATGAAAGGTCTTCTTCACACCTCTCACACCCAGCACTGTTTCAGCTGTATATGTCCGTGAAATTTCACGGATTTCTGTATATGCCCGCTTAGGTGAGGTTTCCGGGTTTGTCTGGAAATATACTGTTCCGTGTTACTCTAATCTGCTTTTTCCCACATACATCCAGCAAACATCAAATTGAACAGGAGTTTACCATGCCCGGATATTGCCGGATTTGAGTCTTTTCATGCAGTGAAAGAGATGTCGTTCTGAAGAACAAATTAAAAAGAAGAAGGATTCGGATAAAGAATGTGCGAAGTTCCGAATTTACATCGGTAGCAAAGCTTTTGAACGATGGCGAGAACTCCGGCGGCAGAAGGGCTTCCAGTCCGACATTCAGGTTGCTCTGTTTTTGCTGGACAGTTGGGTAACGTTAAAATGTTTTTTTTTCTTCTAAATTGACGCTTATGTTCGCCAAACCCACACAAGGATATAATTAGCCAGAACTATGCACGTTCACAATTATTTCAGGAAGCACGGAAGGGAGGGGGAGGAGATGAGATGCGGAGGAGGGAGGGTCTAGCTCCGATTTGTTTGAAAATATTCGAACGTCAACACCCAGGATCGCTTTGAGAACCTTTAATGCACTGGATTGGTTGTGTCCTTTCACGATCGCGATACATAGGTGAAGCTGTCTCTTTAATTGCCCACTTTGCTTGGGTGTGCGTCCCGCTCAGGAAATTCGATAGCTGACTTTTTAGAGGCCTTTAGGTAGCCTAAAAATATGAATTGTCAATTTTTAATCATGGACATACGACATTGGCTCAAGAAAGCTCAAAGCTCTACATCACAACAAGACGAAATGACACCGCCTGCCTTCACTCTCACCTCATGACACCCATTCAAACACCGGCGATAAACCCCAGCAATTGCAGCGGTCGATCGAGTGACTAGCATTTGACTGTCTTAATGAGTGAGTAATTTAATCGTTAAATCAGCTGTTTAAATGGACTGATTCATTGTCGTCAGAAACTAAATGTCTAAAATGTAGTCAGTTTCAGTTTCAATACTTCACACATTTGCAATACTGCTGATATTTAGAGGAAAAGCACTCTGTGTGTAACATTTCTTAACTATATCATATGATATAAATGTAAAGCACAAAAGCTTGTTCAGGGACATAGGCTACTCGATCATGCAGATCACATATCGTTTAACATAACAGCAATTACAATATTGTTGTAGACACTAGGTATCGCTCAGCCCTATTTTGTGCACCCTCACTATTTTCAGAAGAACCCTCAGTGATTTGGTTCTAGAACCGGGCCTGCCCTCTGCTGGTACAACACACACACATCCAGGATCTATAGTTGCTCTAAAACTCCAACATTTTTGAGTTTATACTGTGCGTTTATACAAATAAAATGGTTAATCTATGAATGAGAAAGTGTAATTTGCTGTGAAATAAAAGGTGTTTCACTGCCGCCTCATCAGGTCTGTCAGAGGATGGTTGAAATCTAAATGAAGTCTTAATTTCTAACAGTGAAGTCACTGTATCTTCAGTCTCTGTTGATTCTGTTGACTGTGAGTCTCTGTAGTGGATCCTTATTCACCATCAGATGATCAGCGGAACATCAGACTGTCATCTATAACCTACAATAAAACACACACAGTCACATATGCAGTATGAGATATTACATCTGTCACATCTTTACATAAGAAAACTAACTAGATAATCTATATTAATTCCTTCTTCAACATGATAATATAGCTTCTATCTGATGCTCAAAGTCACTTTACAAAATCAAAAGCACATGAAAGGTCACTTTCACACAACGGACAGCTGATCCAGAACCAGCAGAAATCATCATTACACTCACTACAGATTTAATATCAGTTAAGAACAACCAACATCTCAGATTATCAGAGACAGTTCAAGGGGAAAAGCTGAAAATAACATTCATATTACTCTCACAATCAGTCACAACAGTATGAGCAGAATTACACTAATTTATATTCTCTCTCACACACACACACACACTTACTTAACGTGTTACTGAATCTGAACCATTACTTTTATTTCTAGTGAGTAAATCAGCCATTTGAACTTTAAATGAAAATTATGATGATGAAAATCGTTAAGAATTATTCTTACCCCAGTTTCTCCAGTTTATAATGTGGATCATCCCTCAGATCCTTCAGCTGCTTCACTCCTGAGTCTCCTAGTTTATTATCTGACAGATCCAGATGTCTCAGGTGTGAGGGGTTTAATATCAGAGCTGAAGCCAGAGCAACACAACCTTCATCTGTGACTTTACACTTCCTCAACCTGAAGAGAACAATGACACACATTAAGCCTATATCCAGAGATAAACACAACACTTAAACTATAAATAACATAATGCTGTCAATATGAAATATATACAAATACTCATCAGTTCACTTTGTTAAATTACATCAGTTAGGATTAGGGGATTATACAGTTTAAAAATCATTATTTCTATGGAGAGTCCTCATAAAACATGGAAACCCAACGTGTGTGTGTGTGTGTGTGTGTGTGGTTAATTTATTTGTAAAAACGAATCACATTAGCTCTGTCATATAATAATATATAGGCCTATACAAATATCTCTGCATGAACTACATATCGGCACACAATGTGAACAGTGGCGGAGTGTGTGAAACAGAAATCTCTTTATTTCAACAGAAACATGAGTTTGACTATATACTGGACTGTTTTAGTGCCTATAACACAACAAACACTTTATTTGTCACTGTAAAAATTGTAAAAGAGGTGAATGTAATGAACAAAGAGTCATGAAAACCC